GCTGCCGCACGCCCCCCGGCAGCGGCACCGCCGTCACCGCCGCCCGCGCTCGCCGTCGGCTCACCGCCCGCTCAGAGGCGGACCCTCACCGGAAGTGAAACCGAAACGGAGCCGAGCGCCTGACTGAGGCCGAACGCTCCGGCCGTTCCGCGTGTAAACAGTGAAACCGCGTCACGTGACCGGCGCCGCCCCTCCCCCCGCGGGCTCAGCCCCCTCGGCTCCGCCCTCTTTCTCCTCGCGGGCCCAGGAGCGCGCGCATGCGCTCTGCTGGGACCCGGCCGTGGAGGCCGGGCCCAACGTAAGGCGCGCGGGCTCGGCAGAGGGCGGGAATGCAGGAAGGGCGGCGACGGGTCGCAGCGCTGGCCGAGGTCGCGCTGCTTCGCGTTGCCCAGCGAGCGCCAGAGCGCCCGTTCCTGTAGAGGGGTAATCGGAGGCGTGGGAAAGAGCCTCCCGTAGCGATCGAGTGGATTCAGTTATCCGAGTCCGGCTGGCTGGCTTGGGTTGGAAGGTTTTTTTTTTTTTTTGAAGTGGGGCAGGATCTGATTGAGCTGGAGGTGGAGTAGGGGACAAGAGTAAAGGTGAAAAATTAGATTGAAGACTTTGAACTAGTAATAGTAGCAACCACGGTGACCCAGGTTTGTGTGACCCTTAAAGGCAGGAGGTGAGAGTAACACCGCCTCCACCCCCAAGAGATTTTGGGCTGTATTTTGACACGTCCTGTGCCTCTGAGGGGCAATGGATTGTGTCAGGACCTCTGAAAATGTTAGTCCTTCCTCAGATCCAGCACTGATCCATATACTTCCCTTCTTTCGATTCAGTTTCATACTTTTACTTGACATACGTAAAAAAAAAAGTTAAACACTTTTTAGTTCCTTTACAGTTTATTTCCCTACTATTTTGCTCCTTCTGTGTGCCCATCCTCTACCAAAGGGTGGGTGGGCATGTGTAGAGTACTCCGGTGACCTATCTACAGGGGCCCTGCACCTGTTTCCTTGCAGCTCTCCCCCTTTGCTCTTCACAGGAGAACAAGTTGCAACTCTTGCTCATTCCTCCTTCTGCACTGTGCTTGTATCCACCTTGACCTAGGTTTCTTTTGTAAGGCTTGTATCCAACTGAGAAGCTTATTGACCCCCTACCAGATACCAGGCACTGTGCTAAGTGCTAGTGAGACATTGGGAAAGAAAAATAAAGCACGAAAAGAGAAAGAAAGAAAAGACAGCCAGCAGAGAACTTGGAACCTAGACGCATAGATGGACATAAATTATCAGAAAAGTAAATGGGGAGTTGCAACTGCAGTAAGAGCTGTGATGAAGAGGTACACCTATGATAGTAGGACAGGACCCTGTCTGGGGTAGGAGAGGAGAAGTCAGAGCTGGGAAATGACTCCAGCTGGAGTGCCACCAGTATGAGTTAACTAGCAGCACTAAGTTGGTGGAGGTGGGGTGAACTGACCCAGGCAGGTGCCCCAGAATGTGAGGCATTCCTGGACCTCCAGTTCCCTTCCCACCCCACTCCTAGGCAGCAGTGTTGTTGCTGATGGAGCTCCAATTTTAAAGCAGTGGATCAAGGGCCACCTTCCTTGAGGCCACAGTGAACAGGAATGACCCATTGGACTGGGGTTTCTGGAGTAGTCACAAGATACAAAGACCCCAATAGGGCTGAAAGAGAATTTCACCATATGCTAGATGGGAACAGAGTGTGATCTTTAACCCCAATGTAGTAAAAGGGCACAGATTTATTAGAATGATTATACCTTCCACGTGTGGGATGTTGTTCACTTTACCCAGGGCTTTCAAATATTATCAGCTCTTCACAACCAGTACAAGCCACACTAAACTGCTGCTGTTCCCTGAACCTGTGATGCACTTTCATGCCTTCATGTCTCTACACATGCTTCCTGGCCCCCAGAAATACCCTTCTCCTTAGGGTCATCACCTGGATTCCTATTAGCTAGTTGTTTTACCTCAGCTGCAGAGAGTTGAGTTAACTTTGCTCCTCAATTCTCAATACATTGCCGTCATCAGTCCCTGGAAGACCCTTCTCTTATTTATATTATTTTATATTGTTTATAATATTTTCCTCGTCTTTCTCAATCCTCACTCTCATTCTCTTTCTAGACACCTGCAATCCGTTTGATATAGATCCTTGACAATTTAAGACATGCAGTGTTTTGTGTATGCCTTTTACATTTACAGAGTTGGTATTGGACTGTACATCTGTTTTGCACTGTTTTCATTCAACACTACGTTCTTGAGCTATATCCACATTACTGTGTGTACACCTAGTTTTTGGCTTCTAACTGCTGCTGAGTATTCAAGAGATTTTACTGATACATTTCCCCACTGATGGGCATCTAGGTTACTGCCACCTCCCTGTTGTCACACTGTGGTGAAAACCCTTGTGAATGTCTTTACGAACCTTAGCAAGAATTTCTTTTGTGCTCTTATAGAACCTTCTACATACCTCCTGCTTCCTCACCACACTGCTTGGCATATAGCAGGGACTCAGTAAATGTTAAATACCTCTACTATGATGCTTAATGTACTAGAATCACTTATTTATATTTCTATTTCCCTCACTGGACTTTGAGTTCCTTCCAGGCAGGAAAGATGTCTTATTTATCTTTGTGTCCCTGGCACAGAGTTAGTTGCTCAAGCCTAAAACTGAGTCATTTTGACCCTCTCTTTCTTGCACACATCTAATCCATCAGCAAATTCTTTCGGAGACCATAATGTATTTCTCACCGCTTGCCCTGCTAAAACCATGGTCCAAGCCCCTATTCTCTCTCACCTGGATTATTGCAACAACTTCGCTGGTCTCCCTGCAGCCACTCTTATCCTCTGTCTAGTCTCAACACAGAAGAGAGAGTGACCCTATTCAGGTGTCAGTCAAGTCACTCTCCACTCAAAACCCTCCAATTGTTCCCTAAATGCCTCCGGGTAAAAGCCAAAGTCCTTATTTATTCTGGCCTCACTGTCCTACCCACATTCGCCTCTGTTATCTCCTCTATCTCACCTTTTACCTCCCTGCTTCACTCCATTCCAGCCATACTGGCTTCTTTGCTACTTCTTGAAAATACCAGTCAGGTTCTGTCTGTCTCCTCTCCCTAGAATGTAAGTTCAGTGGGAACAGAGGTTTTTTTGTTTCTTTTATTAGCTGTATGTCCCCAGTGCCTACCACAGTGTTTAGAACACAGCAGGTGCTTACTAAATATTTATTGAATGAATGAATGTGTTGAGGACCCAGCTTGGCTCAAGTCTGCTCCCATGGCCTATATTTACCTGATATTGGAATGATGCTTCAGCACTTCTAGCCTTGCCTTGGCCCTTCGCTTCCATTAAATTGCTGCCTCTTGTCTTTGCATCGATTTATTCTGTGTTGCTTCCTGCTCCTTTGCAATTTGAGCCCTTTAAGTCTTTTTCCTGCCTCAATCCCAGCTGAAATGCCCTTTGTCCTTTCCAATTCTAGAAATCCTGTGTACCCTCTAGGACCCAGCTAAAACTTCACTTCTTTCATGACACTTTCTCTGACAATTTCACCTCACTTTGACTTCCCCTTTGAAGTAGATATTACAAAAAAAAAAATTAATAGTCTTTATGTTTTAGGATAGTTTTAGATTTACAGGAAAATTGAGCAGATAGTAGAGAGTTCCCATGTCAGTTCCCTGATACCTCGCTCCCAGTTTCCTCTATTATTAACATCTTGCATTACTGGGGTATATTTGCTTTCGTTGATGAGCCAATATTGATACCTTATTATTAACTAAAGTTCATAGTTCACATTAAGCCTCACTCTTTGTGTATGCATTTTGACAAATGCGTAATATCATGCATCCACCATTAGAGTATCATGTAGAATAGTTCCACCACTCTAAAAATCCCCTGTGCTCCACCTCTTTATTCATCAGCTCAACCTCCTAACCCTTGGTAACTACTGATGTTTTTACTGTCTCCATAGATTTTCCTTTTCCAGAATGTCATATAGTTGGAGTTATACAGTATGTAGCCTTTTCAGATTGACTTCTTTCACTTAGCAATATGCATTTAAGGTTCCTCCATGTCTTTTCATGGCTTGATAGCTCATTTATTTTTAGCGCTGAATAATATTCTGTTGTCTATTCTGTTATATTGTGTGGATGTACCACAATTTATTTATCCATTCACCTACTGAAGGACATTTTGGTTGCTTCCAGTTTTTGTCGATTATAAATAAAGCTGCTGTAAATATTCGTTTGCAGGTTTGTGTGGACATAAGCGTTCAACTCATTTGGGTAAATACCTAGGAGTGAGATTGCTGGGTCATATAGTGACTATATTTGGCTTTGTAAGAAGCTGCAAACTGTCTTCCAAAGTGGCTGTACCGTTTTGCGTTCCCACCAGCAATGAATGAGAGTTCCTGTTACTCCACATCCTCATATGCGTTGGGTGTTATCAGTGTTTTGAATTTTGACCAGTCTAACAGGTGTGTAGTGGAATCTCAGTGTTGTTTTAATTTGCAATTCCCTACTGACTTATGGCATTGAGCATCTTTTTATATGCTTATTTGCCATCTGTATATCTTCTTTGATAAGGTCTCTGCTCAGATCTTTTGCCCATTTTTTAATTGGGGTGTTTTCTTATTGATGAGTTTTAATAGTTCTTTCTATATTTTGGATACCAGCCCTTTATCAGATTATGTTTTGCAAATATTTTCTCCCAGTCTGTGGCTTGTCTTTTCCTTCATGTAACAGTGTCTTTCACAGGGCAGAGGTTTTTAATTGAAAAAAAAAGTACAACTTATGAATTTTTTTCTTTCATGAATTGTGCTTTCGGCATTATATCCAAAAAGTCATCACCAAACCTAAGTTCACCTAGATTTTCTCCTATATTATCCTCTAGAAGTTTATAGTTCTACA